CCTTGTCTCTTCCCTCACCTGTAGGTGATATACTATTCACTGTGTGCTACCTGTCACAGTGGGTCATGGCACCTCTTTCCCTCCTAGCATTTCAGTGAGGACACCACGTGAACATGGGAGTGAGCTGACCCTTCCTCCCTCCCCTCGACTTTGAGTTCACAGGCCCTGATGTGACCCCAGAGGTCTAGTGGTGGGGTTAGGAGGGAGGTTTTGAATCAGGCTTTTCTGGGACCATATGTTGAGCTTGCTGTCTATCAGCCTGGTGCACATAGGAACTTTGCTTACCTCTTACTCCCTCAATTCCCTGTCCTCAACATGAGGGAAACAGCACCATGTCATAAGGTTTTGAAGGTTTAGGAGGAAGATCTATATGACAGGTAAGGCGATGCGTAGTATAGTTATGGACTTATAAACCGCTGGAGAGACTTTTCTTAGATGTCAGAATAAACTTGTGGAAGGACTGGGTGATACGCAAACAGAGACCAGTCTGCCTTTCAAAGACCCATCCTCTTTATGTTCAGAAACCCAGTGTTCTCTACCTCAATTCCTGTGCTTTTAAGACAATCCCATTGTCTTCCCCACCCCAGCCCTAGATTTCCTTAGCCACAGAATAATGCTCTAGAATAGTGCAATCCCTTGGGAGTTGCCTAAGATTTTATTGGAAGATGATGAACACACACTCCTAGGTGTGTGCCACCCACCTGAGTGAGGCAATGGTCCAGGAAGCAGAGAAACAACATGGCCTAAGGGCTCCCAGTGTCTGGGAGGAGCCAGACTGAGCCTTATAAAGGGACCAGTCTTTGCCCAGATGCACAGCACACTCACCTTCGCCTCAGTGACACCTCGTCAGCTCCGGTAAGTCTGCACCTAACTGTTTGCCAGGGGGGTTCATCAGGGCCCAGGCTGTTCTTCTGTGTCCAGGAATAGGGAGAGCGGTGATGGGAGCGGATTCAGGAACCTGTATCCAGTCTCAACTCTGCCTGTTATGGGTCTTTCTAACTTGAACCCACTTGGTCCCAAGGGCCTATCTACAACAAGATGTCTGTACTGATGCTCCCATTGCTCTGTTGGCTCTTCTGTGACAACTCTGTTGAAGCATCCCTGGTGGGAGCTCAGTATATGAACCTTCCTCTGCTCCTTGTCTTCTTTTCTCTCTGGAATCATCTGACTCTCAGGCCATGGACTTTGCACCCCAACCTCTGGGGAGAGTGGGTGGCTCTCCCAATGTCTTGCAAATTCTCCTAAACAAAGGCCTGGGATGTCCACTCACTTTGCCCTGGTGAGGAGACTTGCCACTACGTGATTCAGTGACCCATAAACTAAGGTTTTGGACCTCGTCACCAGCTGAGGGAATGACCAGTGAGCTTCTGTGCACAGGGCTCAGCTAAGGCCTTGGCCAAGTTGACAGAAGGCCTTAGGTGTTTTCAGTTAGGGACATAACCGGGAGGATCTTTCTCCCAGATTAGGAGACAAAGGAAGTTTTTCTTAGATGTCCACACATTGGAGCCATACACATTTCTTGTGAGTTTTGGAAAGTCTGAGATGTGAGAGCTGCACTGTCCAATTTCTCTGCTTGGGTTCCAGACTGTTGGTGGAGGTACTGGCTTTGAGAAGTCAGATCTCTTTACTTAAATGTGGTCGAGCCTTGGGGTTCTAGATAGCAGGGAGGTACAAAGGTCATCTGAAGGAGCCTATCTGCCCGCATTCCACCCATTAGCCTAAAACTGAGGCAGGTATTTCTGTTTATTTCAAACATGATGCCAAAACAGGTCAGCAGTCCTTCTTTCCCACTGGTGGGGATGGTTCAGGAAACCTTGTGGGAGCTCAGGACAGGGCTGTGCTTCTCTGCTCACACTCACGATCCTACTCACACTCACCTCTGGGAGCCTCCAGGGCCCATTTCATTTAGAGCTTGCTTTATGTTCAGGATGGGCACCTCAGGGGTCTCGTTCTAAGAACAGCCCAGGGTGGGTCAGGCCAGACTAGTCAGGAAGTTATTTTGTCCCCATGACTCTAACCCTGACATTGACCCTGGAGGAGATGGTGTTGATGCTCTTGAAGAGTAGAGTCATCCAAATGCTGTGTTTGGCTCAGGTCCCAACTAAATGTCAGTCCTTTTCCATGTGGTTGACCCCTACCCTCTCTGCTTCTGCCTCCTTTGGTTCTGTCCACGGTGGGCTTCGGTATTCTCCTCCTTCTCCTCTGGACTCTGACCTGCATGGGCCCAGGTCCCAGCCTTGGTCACACTCTCCTCCTTATGAGCATCGCATCCCACCTCCTAGGCTGATACAGCTCTTTCTGTTCCACCTGAGCCTCACTTCGCTGGAGGCTCAGTTCCCACCCCGTTGTCCTGACTGACGGTCCCTCACCTAGGGAGAAGGATAACAAAGGTCCCCATCTTTCTCTCTGGCAGCTTCCTTGAAAACCAAGATGAGCCATACTCCAGTTGAACAGTCCGTGATGGACTTGATCGTCCTGTTCCACAAATACACCAAACCTGATGACAAGATTGACAAGCGGGGCCTGCTGAAGATGCTGAGGGAGAATTTCCCTAACTTCCTCATGGCTTGTGTGAGTCTGGGTAACTTCTCAAGGTCCTGCAATGGCACAGGATGCTTTATTGTGGGACCTTGGTCAAGTCAACCCCATTCTCTCATCCTCAATATTCTCATCTGCTAAAAGGCACAAGAGGACTTTCCCGACTTATTATCAGGATGAAAGATATGGTACAGATGGCCAAGTGTAAAGGCATCTGGAGGTCAAGGGTAGTTATCAGGTGTTCAAATAGGAGAGTAAAGAACGGTCCCCTCCCACTTGTCACTCTCCATCTAGGACACTGAAGCCTCTAGAAGCCGCCATTAGGTTCTCTGAGATCCAAGGAAAGGTGATAGAAATTCTATGGCTGATAAAATTTAATACCTTTCATAACAATGAAAAGCTCATTCGTAGACCTGATTTAGTCTGATAGTTAGAATATACTGGACTGATTACAAAAAGAGAGGTTACTAGGTGACACAGAGAATAGGTGAGCAAAAGAGGGCACTGAGCATGGAAGATTCAGGAAGGCAAATAGGAGATAGGAGAGGAGGGTTAGGAATGAAGAGACAAGGGGTACGGCCTATCTTTAGTTTCTGGGTAGAACTTAGGTAGATGGGGTCCTGGAAGTGGGTCGGGGGAGCAGTTCTGGGTCTAAAGACCACCCACCCACCAGCTCATTGATGAGTGAGGCTCTGGGCTGAGTCTGACAACCACCAGTATGGCCCCCCTTTCATGCTGATACTTAGACCAAGGAATCTCCCTCAGTGACCTTTAGGATAGGGAAACATCCCCCTCATCCCCAGGTACCCTCCACTGGCCCACACCAGCTACACCTGTGCGGCCCCAGATGCTTCTCTCCCCCTTTCTGCCTGTGCCTCCTCCTGTTCCACCCACAACACTTTTGGGACTGAATTTGTCTTTTCCACAGGAAAAAAAGGGCAAAGATTTCTTGGCCCATATCTTTGAGGACGAGGACAAGAATCACGATAAGAAGATCGACTTTTCCGAGTTTCTGTCGGTGTTGGGAGTCATAGCCACGGACTACCACAACCACAGCCACGGAGCCCCGCTCTGTTCTGGGGGAGGACACTGAGCCCAGCCCAGCCTGAGGCCTCCAAGAAACAATAAAGTGTGTCTTTTGCCCAGATACAGCCTGTTTCCTGCTTTTCTTTGGCTACTTATGCTGTCAAAACCACCCCTTCTTGCTGAATGTAATTGTGGGTTCTCCATGGGGGGATTTACCCAGGAATGTGCCAGGTGGGTGCCCTCCCTCTGGCCCCCAGCATAACTGACCACCTCTCTCAGCAGGGCCTCTGTCCACCTCTGCCCCTGCTCCCTAGTGCAGCCAGCGTGCCAGGTCCCAGGGTCAGCAGTGCAGAGCATTCTGCTGGCCCAGCCATGGTTTTTCTTCCAAGCCATGATCAGCCTCTGGGCATCCAGGAACTGTAGGGAGCAGGAGCTGAGGTGTGAACACGGTGCCTTGTGCCCACGTGTTCCTGCCCAGCATGACCCAAGAGACACAGGGGAGATGGCACCACTGAAAAAGGCATTGGGTGGCGGCCATAGGGGGCACATGGGCACTGGTCACTGTGAATGAGAACTCAACAACCCAGAGGACTGGATCCCTTGTCTTGTGTTGTGGGCTTCTGGGCTGTGTCCTGTCCCTGTGCATGTGTGTGTGTTTTATCCTGTGTGGTGTCCTTGTGGAGGTGAGAGAGCCACCCTGTCTGCTGAGCTGATCCTCCCAATGGTTTGCAAAATGCTGGGAGCCTGGTGTCTGGGGAAAGCACAGACTGATGGCTGTTCCAGGCATGAGAAGTAAAGCTAGTGCTGGAGTCCAGAGAGTGTCTGGGCAGCAAGTGAGAAGACAGGACTGAAGAGGAGCGAGGAGGAGAGGGTAGGGAATGATGAGCAGAAAGCTCATGCTGAGTCATCAGTGACAGTCCACTCCACTAGCCATGGAAAGAGGCGTGCCATTACCCACACAGGGCCCTTCCCATCTGCCTCTGTCCTTCTTGGATCTACAGAACCAGCTCACACCTGGAGCACTGGGCCCAGCTGCTCCTTTCAGAGCTGGAGCATTGTGAGCCCACAGAGGTAGATGCAGAGGATGAGGAGGCCTGGGGGTGGATGGTGTGGGTGCGTGGGCAGCTAAGCCACACAGAGAAGAGCTTCCAGAAGCTAGGGTTAGGCAGGAGCAGAGTTGCTCTGATCACTGCCCCCATGGCCTGCAGTCTGGGAAGACTTCCTGGGGTGGGCTCTGGAAATGGGACTCCATGGATGGATAGCAGAGATGTTCTGTCTTTAGAAGGCACATCGAGGCAGTCATGGTGATAACATGTTCTCTTCTGGGATCTACAGAACCAGCTTCAGAGCAAGTTCAAAAAAGACCTCAAGAGGCAACGTCAACTCCAGTGGCCTCTCCAGAGTCAGAGCAGGCTCTGGGCACAGCTTTCACTGACCTTCACGAGGCAGAAGAACCACCTGCAGCGTATGGGCAACTCACTTCAGCTCCTGTGAAGTTTGCAGTCCCAGACCCTGGGCCACAGCGTGTCAGCGGCCACGGCAGAGAGGGCTCCCCCTTTAGATACAGTTTTTCAACGTTTGTGTTTATGTTACATATGCTTAGAATTCAATTGTATTTTTCTGATACTACTGAGTAAAATACAATCGACTTTAAAGAAAATGGAATGAAATACAATTAAAACTAAATTTAATTTAAGTTGAATCAAATTTAACTATGAACCTTCAGAGTGTTGTGCAAATCCATTTTTTCTGGGCCTCGGTGCTGTTATTATGAGTTATAGGCTGGGAATAGGTTATCTCTGAGAAGCCATCTAGCTCTAAGCATGTGGAATTCTTGAGACTTGAGACAATGGGGCTCTGGTGGAATTGACCAATGTGCAATTGGACAGGGTCCCTTTAAGTCAGGGCTATCCCTGGCTGCCCACATTTCATTTGACTTCCTCTCCTAACAGCACATGGGCAAATTATGTTCTTAAACCCCCACCCCATCTTCCATTTTGCAGAAAATTGTACGGTTTAACCAACAGAAAAATGTTCCTGAACACTGCACCTGGGATAGAAACTCCACCCTGTTCCACTCCCACTGAACAGCATCCTGAGCATCACCTCTGTAGATGCAGAGCACCAAAGAGGTGTCAGGGGACAGGAAATATCCCAGGTCCTGGGTCCACACTCTTCTCTTCTACAGGCACCGCCTGCAAATCTCCTCTGGTATCAGAACCTCTCTCAGCCCTCAGCCCCTGAGCACTGGTTCAGCTGGGCCTTTTCCTAAGGCTCTCTGTCTCAGCTGAGCCCAGGAACAATTACTTCCACCTGAACAAGGTTGTGCATGTGGCCTGGCTTCTCTCTTTACATCAGTCCTCCAAACCACCCTGGAGAGACCGGACTAACACCCTTCTAGGGCACCGTGCCATGGCAGACGCTGCAATGTCTCAGGACAAACGGGTATCAGCATTGGACCAGACTCATGCCCCTGCCTCCAGGAGATCAGCTCTCTGGGTTGACACAGGTATGAAACACAATTCTAATAGGATGTGATGAGTTCTACCGTTGACCTTTCCCATAGGTAAGTATGGAGAACATGAGCCCATTGGGGATCACAGCTCTCTTCAGGATGTGATTCCTAAATCATACCAGAAAATGAGTAACTGTATGTCTATCCACTTCATCCTAATTTTTCATGGAGCATGGCAATGCGGGAAGCATTGTGAGATTAAACAGAGGTTGGAGAATTCAAGGAGATTAGGTCCACGTTAGAGGCCATGGTCAGTAGACTTTTACATACCAGCAATGTCCTGAGAAGTGCGGCCTCCCACCGTGTGGGAAGCAACTCCTCCTTTTGGAAGATCAGGACTATGGTCTCCACAGCAGCTGTTCACTATTTCAAATTACACTTTTTAACCTGGCCTCACTTTCCTAAGTTTCACAGCCAACTTCAAAACTGGAGGTTTTTACATTTTTGATTGCTGTTAACATTAGTTGCTATGGACCAGAATTTGAACAATTATATTTTAACAACAAAAATAGTTTTAGAGTAAGGACTATGTGCTGGAACTGCAAGGTACCCGAGATCAGTGAAGCTAAAATGAGTTTTTTTCCTCCCTAATTTGGAATACAGACATATGGGGACAATGACATGGTGTGGTTCCCACAGTATAAGTGGGCTTAGGTGACAGGCAGCATAAAGGAGGAAGAGCACATTTCATTGTGGAGAAGTAGTCTGTGTCCACTTCCAAGGAGAATGCCTAGAGAGAAGTTCAGATTTCTAGTCTGTTGAGGTACATCATATTAAACAGGAAGGTGAGGATATGAAAGATATTTCAGGCTAAGAGAAGCATTAGAAAAATTGAATTGAGTCAGGAAACAATAAGACATATTGGGGTGGACTGGGACCATCAGGAGGTAAGTTCCCAGGACAGGAGCAGGGGAACAGGGATGGCTGAGCAGAGAGGAAGTCAGACAGGAGCTCTGGGAGCCCTGGCAGGAAGGTTCCTAGCAGGACCAGCAGTCCTGGTGCAGGAGGAGAGAAGACAAGTGGAGGGATTGGTTCAAGCTGGGAGGTTTGCAGGGAGGGGATGGCCCAGAGGCAAGTCAACACCAGAGATCTTAGTCAGTGGAGAGCAGTTGGTGTGGTGGATCACGGGGTGCAGGCTGCATAGAGACAGAAGAGGGTACTGACAGGAGAAAAGTGAAAAGGTCCAGAGAAGCAGGTCTCCTTGAGTTTGAGAGCAGGTGGCCTGAGAAGGAGTGGGGGGAGGGGACAGACAATACCAGTGAGAGAGTGAGGTGTAGGCGGGGAAAAGCTCAGGCATGTCCTAAATGATGACAAGCTGCAGAGGATGGGCAGGAGAGGATGCCCCATCCTGCATATCAGATATTTACATTGCGATTCATAACAGTAGCAAAATTACAGTTATCAAGTATCAACAAAAATAATTTTATGGTTGGGGGTCACCACAACATGAGGAACTGTATTAAAGGGTTGCAGTATTAGGAAGGTGAGAACCACTGGTCTAAAAGATTCTCCAAATCACAGGTCCACAGGGTGCAGACCTGGAAGTGCCCAGAGATCACCCTGTGCCTAGTGTAGCTGACGGGTGGGGGTGGACTGAGGCCGATAAGGGAGGAGTTTGCTGGAGATCCCACAGCAAGTTGGGGACATGTTCTTTGGCAATCTCTATCATCCCATTTAGTAATCCGTGTTCTCAATTTGGCCTGAGTGTGATCTTTTTCTTAAAGTGTTAATTGATACACTTTTAAAAAATTGTCTCTTAAAAAATTGACTCTGTGCCCTGGCTGTTGGGCTCAGTGGTTACAGCATGGCCTTTCGTACTAAAGGGTTGCAGGTTCAATTCCCAGTCAAGGGCACATACCTAAGTTGCAGGTTTGATCCCCAGCCTCAGTCTGGGCATGCATGGGAGACAACCAATTGATGTGTCTCTCTCACATCGATATTTCTCTCTCTCTCTCCCTCTCTTCTTCCCTTCCACTCTCTCTAAAAATCAATGGAAAAAAATATCCTTGGGCAAGGATTAAAGAAAACACACACACACAAAAATTGACTTTGTTATATTGTATTAAATTATCAAATAAAATTAGTTACCTACCTTAATAAAAAGTTCTAAAGACCATGCAACATGGTTTGTATTATAGCCACAGTGATTATTTAACATGTTGGGTTAGAAACACTGGCCTCTTAACAGCCTCCTAATGTTTGTGAGATTTAATGTACTACACACCACATTTCTCACATTTATATGCAACTTTAGAGTTTTGTTTTCAAGGGTATCGTTCCAGCCTATTAGGGTGAGAATTACTGGGTCCTGTTTGAAGCTGCCAATAATCCTAACCCTAATCACTCCATGAGTTGGGCACTGCTCTAAGCATTTCATATAAGTGAGCTAATTTAATTCTTAAATGCAGTAATTTAATTCTCAAAGATGGAGCTCAGAGAGGGTAGAGTAATACTGCTAACCAGGGGTAGGGCTGGGATTTGAAACCAGATAGTCTGACTCCAGCATTAAAGCTGCTGCATTTAACCAAAGGTCAAGACTCTAGAGCTCACTGCAGGGGAGGTGACCAGCCCAAGTCACACAGGTTATACACCCTGACCCTGGCCCCTCCCCTCATTCTTAGTCCAGTTACACCACACTGGAGGGAGGTGATGGTCTCAGAACTGAGATGCTAATGACACGGTGAGAGTAGGAGGTGGAGGAGTCAACCACATGGACAAATACCTCACCCACCGAGTTTCCTGCAGGTGGAACAGAAGATTTTGGAGGCAGTTGCCTAATTTCTCCCTGAAGAATGTGGCCTGATTGAGGGGTTAGCAGGAGACTGTGAGTAGGAGGTAGGGAGTGACCCAGCTGGATGATGGGATCCTGAAGGAGGGGAGCTACTGAAGCAGCAGGTATGTGCCTAGAGGTGGCCCTGGATGTGCAGATGAGTGCTGACTGGTCTCCTGGCCCATGGAGAGACCCCATGTGTGGGAGAGCCATTGCTTGCTGAGGAAGCACTTGTGTCCGGCTTGTTTCTGAAATCCTCAGCCCCTAGCACATTTTATGACGTCAGAGAGCCCAAGGGTAATGACATGGCCCTTCCTATGACAGATAAGGGGATCGGTCACTTAGGATGCTCAGCATGAGCTCTCCTCCCTCTGTGCACTGTCCTCCCTACTCTTCTGCAATCTTCTCTTCCACTTGGTGCCCAGACACTCTCTGGACTCCAGCACTAGCTTTACTCCTCATTCCTGGAACACCCATCACTCTGTGCTTCCCCAGACACCCAGCTCCCAGCATTTAGCAAACCATTGAGAGGATCAGCTCAGCAGACAGGGTGGCTCTCTCCTCCACAGGGACACCGCACAGGATAAAACACACACACACAAGCACAGGTACAGAACACAGCACAGAAGCCCAGGACACAGGACAAGGGATCCAGTCCTCTGGGCACTGCTGAGTGTCCCGTTCACAGTGACCAGTGACCAGTGCCCATGTGCCCACAATGGCCGCCACCCAATGCCCTTTTCAGTGGTGCCATCTCCCCATTTTCCCTGGGGTCATGCTGGGCAGGAGCTCATGGGCATGAGTCACCATGTTCACACCTCCCTCAGCTCCTGCTCCCTGCATTTCCTGGATCCCCAAATGCTGATCGTGGCTTGAGAAGGAAAAGCATGGATGGGCCAGCAGAATATTCTGCACTGCTGACCCTGGGACCTGGCATGCTGGCTGCACTAGGGAGCAGAGGTAGCAGTGGACAGAGACCAGGCTGAGAGAGGTGGTCAGTTATGCTGGAGGCCAAAGGGAGGGCACCCGCCTGGCACATTCCTGGGAAAGTCCACCCATGGAGAACCCACAATTACATTCACCAAGAAGGGGCGGTTCTGACAGCATAAGTAGCCAAAGAAAAGCAGGAAACAGGCTGTATCTGGGCAAAAGACACACTTTATTGTTTCTTGGAGGTTTCAGGCTGGGCTGGGCTCAGTGTCCTCCCCCAGAACAGAGCGGGGCTCCGTGGCTGTGATTGTGGTAGTCCGTGGCTATGACTCCCAACACCGACAGAAACTCGGAAAACTCGATCTTCTTGTCGTGATTCTTGTCCTCGTCCTCAAAGATATGGGCCAAGAAATCTTTGCCCTTTTTTTCCTGTGGAAAAGATAAATTCAGTCCCAAAAGTGTTATGGGTGGAACAGGAGGAGGAGGAGGCAGAGAGGGGCAGAGAAGTATCTGTGGCCACACAGGTGTAGCTGGTGTGGGCCAGTGCGGGGTATCTGGGAATGAGGGGAATGTTAGCATTACCCTGCAGGTCACAGAGGGAGATTTCTTGAATCAAGTATCAGCATGAAAGAGAGACCTAGTGGTGGTGGGCAGACTCAGCCCAGAGCCTCACTGATCAATGCGCTGGTGGGTGGGTGGTCTTTAGACCCAGACCTGCTCCCCCCACTCACTTCCAGAACCCCATCTACCTAAGTTCTACCCAGAAACTAGATAGGTCCTACCCCTTGTGTCTTCATTCCTAACCCTCCTCTCCTATCTCCTATTTCCTTCCAGAATCTTCCTTACTCAGTGCCCTCTTTTGCTCACCTACTCTCTCTGTCACTTAGCAACCTCTCTTTTTGTAATCAGTTTAGTATATTTTGTCAGACTAAATCAGGTCTATGAATGAGCTCTTTCATTGTAATGAAAGGTGTTAAATTTTATCAGCCCAGGAATTTCTATCACCTTCCCTTGGATCTCAGGGAACCTAATGGAGGCTTCTAGAGGCTTCAGACTCCTGGATGGAGATTGACAAGTGGGAGGGGACCATTTTTGCTCTTCTATTTCATCACCTCATAACAACCCTTGATCTCCAGATGCCTTTACACTTGGCCACATGTATCACCTCTTTCATCCTGATAATAAGTCAGGAAAGTCCTTTTAGGCCTTTTTGCAGATGAGAATATTGAGGATCACAGAATGGGATTGACTTGTCCAAAGTCCTCCCCCATGACAGGGCCCAAGCAACCTGGAGAAGTCACCCAGACTTACACAAGCGTTGAGGAAGTTAGGGAAATTCTCCCTCAGCATCTTCAGCAGGCCCCGCTTGTCAATCTTGTCATCAGGTTTGGTGTATTTGTGGAACAGGACGATCAAGTCCATCACGGACTGTTCAACTGGAGTATGGCTCATCTTGGTTTTCAAGGAAGCTGCCAGAGAGAAAGACGGGGACCTTTGTTATCCTTCCCCCCAGGTGAGGGTCCCTAAGTCAGAACAACGGGGTGGGAACTGAGCCTCCAGTAAAGTGAGGCTCAGTTGGGAGCAGAAGGAACTGTATTATACTAGGAGGTGGGATGAGATGCTCACACGGAGGAGAGTGTGACCAAGGCTGGGGCCTGGGCACCTGCAGGTCAGGGTCCACAGGAGATGGAGGAGAACAGAGAAGCCCACTGTGGACAGAACCACAGGAGGCAGAAGCAGAGAGGGTAGGGGTCAACCACATGGAACAGGACTGACGTTTTAGTTGGGACCTGAACCAAACAGAGCATTTGGATGACTCTACTCTTCAAGAGCATCAACACCATCTCCTCCAGGGTCACAGTCAGGGTTAGAGTCATGAGGACAAAATAACTTCTTGACTAGTCTGGCCTGACCCTCCCTGGGCTGTGCTTGGAATAAGTCCCCTGAGGTGCCCATCCTGAACATAAAGCAAGCTCCAAATGAAATGGGCCTTGGAGGCTCCCAGCGGTGAGTGTGAGTAGGATGGTGAGTGTGAGCAGAGATATACATCCCTCTGATGAGCTCCCACAAGTTTTCCTGGACCATCCCAATCAGTGGGAAAGAAAGACTGCTGACCAGCGTTGGCATCATGTTTGAGATAAACAGAAATTCCTGCCTCAGTTTTAGACTCTTGGGTGGAATGTGGGCAGATAGGCTCCTTCAGATGACCTTTGTACCTCCCTGCTATCTGGAACCTCACGGATACAGCACATTTAAGTACCTCCACCAACAGTCTGGACCCCAACAGAGAAATAGGACAGTGCAGCCCTCACACCCCAGACTTTCCAAAACTCTCAAGAAATGTGTATGGCCCACATGTTTGGGCATCTAACATAAACTACATTTTCTTATCATCAGGGGGAAAAAAAACACCTTGCTGCTATTTCCCTACATGGAACTACCCAAGGCCTTCTGTGAACTTGGCCAACGTCAGAGCTGAGCCCTGTGCACAGAAAGTCACTGGTCTTTCCCTCAGCTGGGCAGAAGGTCCAAAACATTAGTTGATGGGTTTCTGATCCATATACTGGCAGATCTTCTCACCAGGGCAAGGGGGAGTGGGAGTCCCCAGGGTTTGTGTTCAGAAAGAACCCTTCCTGGACCTTGGATAGAGGACCCCCCACTCTCCCCTGGGAGGTTGGGGGTGCCAAATTGGAGGCTTCCACCCACCTGGGGCCTGAGAGTTAGGTGGAGCCCGGAAAGAAAAAGAAGA